TTGAGAACCAATTGCTGGGGAGAGAAATTCAAAGCAAAGCCTGGCTTAGTGCCTATCTAGGCCCCACAACCCCAACCCATGATGCCCCTGCTTACACCAGGGGCAAATGGTACCCATGGCATAGTTCTATGTCTAGATCTCATCCTGAGTGCACCATGGCCTCTCCCTATGAAAGCCTGCCTCTAGGGCTTTTGTTTCAATTGCCATAGGCTCGAGGACCCTTAAACCTTCTCAGCCACTGCACACAGGCCTCCTGGACACCCAATGCTCCCAATGCCCCCGTGCCCACACCAGCGGACTTACAGTCTCCCTGGGAAGCCAGTTTCTTGCTGTCTGGCTGGTCTGTGGATGAGAGAGACTGTCAGATGCGACACCACCCACCCGCACCGCCTCAACCCCAAAGCTGGTGCGGCATGTTCCAGGCATAGTCACCACCATCCCGCATGACAGTCGAGATGGAGGGTTAGGAGGTGCCAGTCCAGAAAGGGGCAACTTGCCCAAGTCACTCACCACCCCAGAGTAACAAAGTTCACTTTTAATGTGACCATTAAACATCACGGGATCCCTCCAGATTACAGCCGGATCTACCCAGAGGACAAGTGTCCTGCTCAGGAACACCCTTGGCGATGCTGTGTCCTGCCTGTGTCAGTCTCCCACAGGGAAGGAGCGATCTTGAGAACCTCCAGCTTTCCCTGGTCACAACCCACCTGCCCTTCTCTCAGCTACCTGATACCTCAGAGTGGCAGATGGAACAAAAAACTGGGCGACTCCCCTGTCTTGGAGCCCCACTGGGACACAGTGCTCCTCTCAGCCTCAGGCTTCCCTCTGGGGTCAAAGCCAGCCACCGCCACCACCAGGAGTTACCTCCATCTTCCAGCTGTCTCTTTTGGCCCCCAAAACTGAAATCGGGAGTGTTGTTATTCACGGTGGTAGCAGCATCACCTCCGATTTTGGCTGCAATCTAGGGTGAGGTAAGAAGTACAGACGAGTTACCACCCCAAGCAACCCTAAAGTTCACCCCTAGCCTTGGCCTGGAGTGGCTCCCCGATTTCAGGAGGAGTTTGGGTGTTAACACTCTGGAAGCTTTTAGGAAAGTCTCCCAAGTTTTCTAAGAACTGCAGGCTGCCTGTTCTCCCTTACTGGCAAGACTTGTGCTCACAGGCTATTCTAAGTGCAAAGGAAAGAGCAGCTCAGGAGGACAGGACTCCTGGGTCATTTCCCACAAGTGGCCTGGGCAGCAAACAGGACTTCAACTTTCCTGCCTCTCACCTGTGACATCTTAAAAAACAACAACAACAACAACAAACAAACCTGAGATATTTCAGTCAAGCTTGTCTTCAAGCACCTGACATCCCCATATGACCAAAACAAAAGCCCCTTTGGGACACAATGGAGTTCCAAGTGCACAGAGAGCATCTTCACATTATCCCCAAGCCAGCAAGCATACACCCCAAATCCTGAATTCCGGATCCAAACTACTTCACTATAAAAACCAAAAGTGTGCCAGGCGGTGGTGGCGCCCCAACTGACAGTACCCACCCCCAGGGTGAGCTGCACCTTAATCAAGGAATTGTGGGGAATGACCAGGAAAAAAGGCATGTTAAACCCACCCCACCTTGGATCGAGGAAGGCAAAGATGACAATGGAGAGGGCAGTAACCCAAAGGTTCCTTCCACCTTGGGAGGAACCAGTCCTTAGCCCTGGGACAAGCCCTGGGCTCCACCATCCATTGTGAGCCTGGGCCATTTAACTTTTAGAACTGACCAGAGTGGGGTTGTGAGCAAAGCTGAGCTGGGTCACACCAGCACATGACACTTCTATACGCTGACAACCAAACAAGTCATGTTCCCAAAGGGAGACAGACAATTCTTTTGAACTAACTCAAACAGTAAAGAGCAGGTTCCCATGTCCGCCTTCCCATCTCACTCCAAGGCCCAAGCTCTCCAACAAAGGGTCCTCTCTTTACCATCCAGATCCAAGAGGAAGGACTTCTCCCTACCCCTCACCATCTGTCCCTTCCTAGGGACAGAAATGGGATGGTTTGGAGCACCTGTCCTGATTGGAAATGGGAGTAGAGGTGTGTAAAGCAAGATCCTCTATCTATAAGGAACTTCTGGGAGGGTGCAAGTATGTGCTAAGATGGGTCTCCACCTTCTAAATATGTGCTTACTCTTGGGAACCCCCGATTCTGAGCCCTCACGTGTCTAAATAGTGGTCTCCTAGCATCCTTGAATGCAACTTTTGCAAACCCTGAGGTAGCTCTTAGGGACTTTAAGATTACAAACTCTCACGGGTTCCAAGAAGGGTCTCCTAGCATCCCTGACCTCATCCTTTCTGAACTCAGGAATGGCTCTTGCAGACCTGCCTCAGATTCAAAGCCCTCATGAGTCCTAAGAACAGTTCCCTAACAGACTGCAAGTCTTCATGACTCCTAAGAGGGGTCCTCTACTGCAAATCCAGGAGTGGTTCTTGGGGACGTCCTCATAATGCCCAAGCTCAGGTCTCTGCAAAACCAGAGGACCTCTTCAAATCACAAACCCTCCCGGATTCTGGAGTGGTCCCCCAGAATACAGCCCTTGTTTCCTGAATGGAAATGCTGAGTGCAGGCTCGAGGGTGGCTCTTGGGGACACTGACCCAGACTGCAACCTTTGTGGGTCCTAAGTGGAATCTTCCCAGGAACGGTTCCTGGGAACTCCAAGGCTGCTACCCTCCTAAGAGAGACCTGATGCAAGTTCAGGAATGGGTCTCGGAGATCCCCAAGGCTGCAATTCCTCGTATCCTAAGAGGGATCGTCCAGTGCAAAGTCTGGTCCTCGGGGACCCCCTTTCAACGCACCCCTAACTCGAAGCACCCAGAGGGTCATCCTCATACCGTGGCGGCTCCAGACTCCCCGCCCAGAGCCCGCCGCCCACGTGACCCTCCCGCGACCCCGCGCGCGCCGCCGCCCCCTCCCCCGCGCGCGCACGCGCCTTCGCGGCCTCCTCACCTGGCGGGCCCGCTGCACGGCGTCGGCGAAGGCGTCCTTGCGGATCCCCGGGCCGCCACTACCGGGAGGCTGCGAGGGGCCCCCGGACGCGCCTCCTCCACCCGGGCCGCCGCCGCCGGGGCCTCCGCCGCCCCGGTCTCCCGCGCCCGGCGGGCCCGGCGGAGGGCCTCCTCCCGCACCCGCGGCTCCTCCGCCGCCGCCAGCAGGAGGCGGCGGGCCGGGCGGGGGGCCTCCGGTGCTGTAGTCCGACATGGAGCGGCGCGGACGGGCCTGGCGCGGAGGCTTCAAGCTGAGGAGGCGGCGGCGGCGGCGGCTCAACGCGGGAACAAGGCCTCGCTCCACACGGCCGCGGAGCACGATGGGAAGCCAGCGGCTGGGAAGACGACGAGGGGGGAAGAGGAGTACCACCTCCTCCCGCCGCCGGCGTGACGGACGGCGCGGAGCAGCCAGTTGAATGCGACTGTCGCTCTGCGCCGACCAATCGTGGGCCGTGAATCCGGGCGACCAGTCAGAGTCCCGCAAGACTCAGGGGGCGGGAGGAGCGGAGTGACTGACGACCATAGGACTCAATAAACTGTAGGCTGCTGGAGCTGGGCGGGCAATTCGAAGTCACGCGAGAAGACAGGAGGCCCAATGAAGCGTGAGTTCCAGATTCGCGGGGCGGCTCCAGAAAGAGAGTGACGGCTCTGACTAGTCACGTGGATCTGGGGGCAGGGCTTAGCGAAAGCGCTTCTGGTTGAGTGGGCGGGCACTCAGCGAGGCAGTCATGAACGCCAGCCAGTGAATGCACGCAGGAGGCGGTGCTTGTGAAGATTGGCAGACATTTAATCCAGTCCCTGAAGCGTTTTGGGGTGATGTGCTTGGATTAGGACTTGACGGCTTTTCTCAGACTCCATGTCTCTCGATTTCTGAGCCAATGGCTGAGCGACAGGGGCAAGCGTTGGATGATTGATGCCTTCCTGGACAAATAGCAGCGACGGAAGTAATAGCGCCCTGTTTTGATGGGAGCGCACCTGCATTGGGGGTGGAACCCGCTACCAGACGGCGAGAGCGGATTAGCAGGAGCCGGAGTGAATGGCAGCGGACGTGGGCGGTGGTGCCCTGCTGCGGGAATTACGCCCTGACCTCTAGATCAGCGTGCCAGCGCCCTGGCTCTGGGAGGCCTTGCACGTGGCCTGCTCGAAGCCTTGGGGATCAGTGTTTGTGAAGACTTGGATGGCCTGAGATTGGGTGAAGCACCCAGGGGTATCTTGAGTCTTCTCATTCCGAGGACCTAGAGCCTGCATTTCTTCCTACTCCTCAAACTTACTGCAAGCCTGTGTCCAACCTGGACTCAGGTCCCCACAGAGGTCCAGGCCCCCAGCTCCCAACCCAGGACCCAGAAGGGATCCCAGTTACCACCCGGGACCTAGGAGGCCCAGGTCTCCTTACAGGGGACCCAATACTCAGGTCCCTACAGGAACTCAAGCCCCTTGCTCCCCAGGTCCTCAGGGTGGGGTCCTCATAGATGTTGAGCAAGCTCTCTAACCGCCGAGATACGCCCCCATACTCAGATCCCCCACCCTGAACCAGCTAATCCCAGATTTAATGACAGCCAAAACTATCTTTATTCTTTGTCCACACCTTCGGTTGGACGAGCCTGCAAACACCCGGCTGGAATCTCAACTCAGACTGTATCTTGCAGGAGGGAATCCGAGCACTTTTAACCCTAGTCCTGGATGGTTCTTGCAAACCAAAATGGCCCTAAAGCCTGAGCCTTGGTGGGCTTTCTGAGACCCAGGGACACTGGGTCTTCCATTCTCTTCCTGTTAGGGGCATGTCATCTGCTCAGGACTTGTACACCCAGGGTTTTCTTCATGGCTTCGTACACCAGGTAGCTGATGCCGCCTGCTGGCAACACCTTCAGTAATGTGGGCGTCATGCCTCTGTACAGCCCAGGCCAGCCCTGTTGGCTCAGTATCCGCCTGAAGACTCCCAGCATGGTGGGGTTGGAGCCTTCCACAGTGTCTGGGGATAGACAAAGAGAAGTTCACTGGGTCTGATGTGAGATGTCACTGTGGTCAGTGTGGAGGATCTGGATCTCATTTGGGGGGCGTTTGTAGAGATCATTCGGTTATTGCCATATATGTATTTTGAGACGGTCTTATGTAGTGCAGGCTGGCCTAGAATTCCATATGTAGCTAAGGCTAGCTTTGAACACCTGATCCTCTTGACTCTGCCTCTTGCTGGAATTACAGCACTACCACACAAGTTTACATGGTGCTGGGGACTGAGCCCCTGGCTTCATGGATAGGCACACAGTACATACTAGGCTGAGCTACAGCCCCAGCCACAAGGTAGCTGAGGCTAGCCTCAAACTCAATATGTCACCAAAGAATTTCTGATCTTTCTGCCTCCACCTCCCAAGTGATGGGTTGACTGTTAATTTGAGGGCTGGGATGAGATTGGGGAGTAAGCATAAATTTTGGTGGGTTCAGGACTTAGCATTGGTGGCACATGCCTTTAATCCTAGCACTCGGGAGGCAGAGCCAGGTGGATCTCTGTGAGTTTGAGGCCAGCCTGGTCTACAGAGCGAGATCCAGGACACCCACCAAAACAACACAGAGAAACCCTGTCTGGAAAAACCAAAACAAACAAACAAACAAACAAAAAGTGTTGCAGATGGGTTTATGGAGTGGCTGGAAGCTAGTGGGGAAAGATGAGAAAATTCAGAAAGCCAGTATGAGGTAGGGAAGGGGCCAGGCTGACCTTGTGCCTGCATCCGTGTGCGCACCAAAGTCAGTGGGTAACTGGCCATCTGGCCACAGGTTGTGGACAGTGTTACAGATGACAAGCTGACCAGGCCACTGGGGTCCGTCATGTCCCTGCCCGACTTCTGCCACAGACACCGGAGTAGCTGCAAAAGGAGGCAGGAGTGCTGGTGATAACAACTCGGAGTCTAGACGGGCACGATGGCGCACGCCTTTAATCCCACCACTGGGAGGCAGAGGCAGAAGGAGCTCTAAGTTTGAGGCTAGCATCATCCACATATTGAGTTCTAGATCAGCCAAGGCTAAATAATGAGACCGTGGTTTTTTTTTTTTGTTTGTTTGTTTTTGTTTTTGTTTTTGGAGACAGGGTTTCTCTGTGTAGCTTTGCGCCTTTCCTGAAACTCACTTGGTAGCCCAGGCTGGCCTCGAACTCACAAAGATCCGCCTGGCTCTGCCTCCCGAGTGCTGGGATTAAAGGCGTGCGCCACCACCGCCCGAGACCGTGTTTTAAAAAAAAAACAACAGTCTTAGCTGGGTGGTGGTGGCGGTGGTGGCGGCAGTGCACGCCTTTAATCCCAGCACTCGGGAGGCAGGGGCAGGTGGATCTCTGTGAGTTCGAGGCCAGCCTGGTCTACAGAGTGAGATCCAGGACAGGCTCCAAAGCTACACAGAGAAACCTTGTCTGGGAAAAACAACAACAACAAAAACCCAAGTCTTTGGACCTCTGGGTTCAAGGCCAGCCTGGGCTATAGAGTGAGATCCAGGACAGCCAGGGCTACACAGAGAAACCCTGTCTTCAAAAACAAAAAACAAAACAATGGGCTGGAGAGATGGCTCAGCAGTAAAGAGCATTTGTTGCTCTTGCTGAAGACCCAAGTTCAGTTCCCAGCACCAAAATGCCTGCTTAAATATATCTAAAAAAGCAAAATTTGAGAGAAGGAGGCAGGGAGAAAGCTATGGGCTGACCTGAAGCCAATGCTCTCTCCTCTGGGGACACACACCTCATAGACAGCCAGGTCAGTGCAAGCATAGGGTATGATACCCAGCATATTGGGCAGATAGCCTCGGTACAGGGCTCGGGTGCCATCCCGTTCTAAGATCTGCCTGGCACAGTCCAGAAGTCCTTTATACTGTCCGGTAAAGCGAAGGGTCAGCCGAGTCTTGAGTACCTGGAGAGGGGGAGGAGGTCCATTTGGTTAAATACTCTCAGGCAGGCTTGTCACCCCAGCCTGGCATTGGTAGGTGGAGACACTGTCTAGGATCTCAGGGTTCAGTTATGCATATGTAGCATTAGATAGGCCCCCTATATGGAAAGAGGGAGCCTTAGAGGGGTGCACTAGACTGGTTGTTCTCACCGTAACCTAATACTTGAGGCTGTCGAGCTTTTTAAAGAAAAGTTTAAACCCAGGTGCGGTTAACACACTCTTATCCCAGCACTGGGGAGGCTGAAACAAGAGGATTGCAAACTTCAGGCCAGCCTGGGCTACACAGCAAGACTCTTTCACAAAACAACAGGCTGAGGCTGTGGCTCATTTGGTAGAGGGTGTGCCTAGTACAAAGCCTTGAGTTTCATCCTAGCACCCCCGTAAACTGGGTGTTTTGGCACACACCCGTGATCTCAGCTCTCGAAAGTAGAGCTGGGACAGGAAGTTTAAAGTCACCCTGCTACACAGTGAGTTCCAGTCCAACCTGGGCTACAGTGAAACCCTGCCCCCAACTCCTTTTTGAGACAGGGTCTCACTATGTAGCCCTGGCATGCCCGAAACCCACTATGTAGACCAGGCTGGCCTTGAACTCACACAGATTCTCCTGTCTCTGCCTCCAGAGCTCTGGAATTAAAGGCGTGCACCAGCTGGGCGGTGGTGGCGCACACCTTTAATCCCAGCACTCGGGAGACAGAGGCAGGTGGATCTCTGTGAGTTCGAGGCCAGCCTGGTCTACAAAGTGAGTTCCAGGAAAGGCGCAAAACTACACAGAGAAACCCTGTCTTGAAAACCAAAAAAAAAAAAAAAAAAATGCCGCGCGGTGGTGGCACACGCCTTTAATCCCAGCACTCGGGAGGCAGAGCCAGGTGGATCTCTGTGAGTTTGAGGCCAGCCTGGGCTACCAAGTGAGTTCCAGGAAAGGCGCAAAGCTACACAGAGAAACCCTGTCTCGAAAAACCAAAAAATAAAAAAATAAAAAAATAAAGGCGTGCACCACCACCATACCCAACCTGGAACCTTGTCTTAAAAACAAAACAAACACCCAGGCCAGCAGGACCCAATCATGCCACACCAAGATGTCATCCAACCATAATCAATGCCTAAGACCCAACCAAATTTCCACTATGTGTATTTGAGACTGGGTCTGAAGTAACCCTGGCTAGCCTCTAGTTTGCTGTGAAGCTGGGGAGGATGGAGAGTTCAAGGCCAGCCTGGGCTACATGAGACTTCATTTCAAAAACAGAATAAGAGGGCAACAAGACAACACAATGCAGTAAGACATTTGCTGTTAAGCTTGATCCTGGGACCCACTGGGTAATTCCAGTTCCTGGGGATTGGAGGAGCTCTTCTGACCTCGGCAGGCCCTGCATGCACATATACAGACACACAAACAAAATCTCGAAAAAACAGATGGGTAGTGGGATGTAGCTCAGTGGTTGAGTGCTTGCCTACTATGTGCAAAAACCCTGAACTCAATCCTCATTGGTGCTTCTGGACCCCAAGAAAAGAGGCATCACACACACACACACACACACACACACACACACACACACACACACGAACATACACACCAGGCATGTACATATACATCCACACACACATACATATACAACCAGAAACACAAAAAACGTCTCCCCCAATTTTTTTTTTTGCTCAGGGTCTCACTCTATAGGTCTGGCTGTCCTGGAACTCCATAGGCCAAGCTGGTCCTCAACTCACAGAGATCTGCCTGCCTCTGCCTCTGGAGTGCTGAGATTAAGGACGTGGCCACCACGCCAGTCCTAAAAGTCTACTGGGGACTGTAGAGGTGGGTGGTTTGGGTGCTGTGAGCCTTGAGAATCAGCGGGACACATATGTCATCACATATCTGTCACAGTTTGGGAGAAGGGACACAAAGCCACACTAAGCGGTGTCCTGCATTGGTAGTAAAGGCAGCCTTGGGAGGGTGCCTGAAGGAGCGTGTGGCCTGATGTCACACAGCAGAGTGATCTTGGCAAACTGTAGGGAGAGCTGAGGCTGACTTGACTTCCGAAAAATCCTCAGCTTCTGTAAAAAGTAGATCTTTTTACAGATCAGTTGCCGTGGGCCCACCTGTCACCCCAGCACTCAGGAGGTGGAGAAAGGAGGATCAGAAATTTGGGGTCATTTTGGCTACATGGCATGACCAAGGTCAGCCTAGGCTACACTTTAAAAAAACAAAACAAGGGGGCTGGAGAGATAACTCAGAGGTTAAGAGCACTGGCTGCTCTTGCAAAGGACCTGGGTTCAATTTCCAGTACCCACAGGGCAGCTCACAACTGTCTATAACTCCTGTTCCAGGGGATCTGACACCTTCATACAGACATGCATGCAAGCAAAACACCAATGTACAATAAATAAATAAGCAAATCTTTAAAAACAAAACAAAAAATCATATCGCATTCACCTCTCTCTCTCTCTCTCTCTCTCTCTCTCTCTCTCTCTCTGTCTCTGTCTGTCTCTCTCTGTCAGAATTTGAAATCTATGAGAACGTTTGTAAGTAAACATGTTAGAAGGTACATAGCAGCTCTCTGAGGTTGTTAGAGACAAGGGATGGGACATCCGGAGTGACAGCTTAACATGTGGCACACAGGAAGGAAGAGAAGGTGTGGAGCTGGGGTGGTGGCTCGGTGGTGAGAGCTTGGGAGGCTCCAGGTTCCATTGCTAGCATCAGAGAAAGAAAGAAATGAAGGAGAAAGCTGGATTCACTGTCTATAATTCCAGCACTTGGGGGACCCAGGCAGGACGTCGGCTGGTGTTGTAGGCTGTCCTGTGCTACAGTTTGAAAATCTCTGTCAAACAAAATCAAGCCAGGCAGTGGTGGTGCACACCAGCACTCAGGAGACAGAGGCAGGCGGATCTCTGTGAGTTCAAGGACAGCCTGGTCTACAGAGCGAGTTCCAGAAACCTTGTCTTAAAAGCCAAAACAAAACGGGCGGTGGGGGTGGGGGCGGGGGTGGGTGGCAGGAGGATGGTAGGAAGATGAAGAGGGGAAGAGAGGAGGGAGAAGAGGTGGTGCCCCAGAACAAGCCCTGGCCACTCGGGTCCTCCGGCCTTACCTCCATGGGGTTGATGAGAGTTTGGGAGATGGCGACAGCCAGGGAGCCCGAGAGCACCCGCTCCTGGAAGGGCGGGGAGCCCTGCACACCGCAGAAGAAATTCTTACACTGCAAAGGGAGGGGACATGAGAGAAGCCGCCAGCCACTGTGCGCCGGGAGGGGAGGGCTGCCTTGCACTCTGGGGGCTCACCTGCTCAAACACGGAGAACTTGATGGCGTATTCCGGGGCGATCTTGAGCACGTTGATGCCATTGCCCCGCCAGAGTGAGCGGACACCTCCCTCCTGGACCAGGCTCTGCAGGCCACTCAGCAGGTGCCTGAAGTTACTCTTGGAAGAGTACACCTGGGGAACAGGAGGAGTGAGCAGCCCTGAGACCCCCCCAGGTTTCCCCAGCTCCTCTACTGGGGGTGGGGAGGGTCTAGGCGGGGCTCCACCTCTGACCACGCCCCCAGACCCTCACTGGAGGATTCTAGGCGGGGCTCCACCCCATGACCACACCCCCAGCCCCTCACTGGGGATTCTAGGCGGGGCTCCACCCCTGACCACGCCCCCATCCCCTCACTGGGGATTCTAGGCGGGGCTCCACCCTGACCACGCCCCCAGCCCCTCACTGGGGATTCTAGGCGGGGCTCCACCCCTGACCACGCCCCCATCCCCTCACTGGGGATTCTAGGCGGGGCTCCACCCTGACCACGCCCCCAGCCCCTCACTGGGGATTCTAGGCGGGGCTCCACCCTGACCACGCCCCCAGCCCCTCACTGGGGATTCTAGGCGGGGCTCCACCCCTGTACAGTGTACCTTACCCTCTCTTTATTTTATATTTTGACACACGGTCTTTTCACTAAAATTGTCTGAGCTGGCCTTGAAGTGGAGATCCTCCTGCTTCAGTCTCCAGAACAGCTGGCATCATAGACCTGTGCCAGTGGGTAGATCCACCTGTCTAAACATATTTATCTAAAAACCCACTGTGGCCAGGTCTGGCAAGGCTGGTCTGTGATCTCAACTATTTGGGAGCCTGAGTCAGGAACATTGTAGTTTAAGTCCTTTCTTGGCTACAGAGTGAGTTCAGAGCCAACCTGGGCTACTTACTGAGATGCATGAAAATAAAAAATGACAAGAGGGCTGAGGGAGGGACGGCCCAGTGGTTAGAGCTTTTGGCTGGCAGATGGAGAGACGGCTCAGGGGTCAAGAGCACTTGCTGCTTTTGCCGAGGAACCTGGTTCGATTCCCAGCACCCATGTAGAGGCTCACAACCATCTGTAACTCCAGCTCTAGGAGGTCCAGCGCCTCCTTGTGGCTTCTAGTGGCACTGCAGGCATGTGGTGAACAAACATGCGGTTAAACTCTCACACACATAAAATAAAAATAAATCTATTTTCAAAAAGAAAGAAAGGAGGGCTGGAAATGTTGCCCAGCAGTGGGTGCTTCTCTGCGTGTGTGAAGCCTTGGGGGTCATCCTCAGTTCCTTCCATCCCTGCAAACACCTCAAAGACCACCCACAACCCGCAGACCTCCAAACCCTTTACCTTGGTCTTGTGTTCCTCTCTGTGCTTGGAGTTCTCTAAACCCAGCTCCAGCATGACTCTACTTCCTGTCCTCATCACCAACTTTACAAGACTTCTGTGTCTAGTCCCTGGCCATCCCGAGCTCCATCAACTCCATCTCTTCCACCCCTCTGCGCCCATACTATCCCTCCAAAGGGCTCCAGCTCCGAGGACAAACCTGCATGTATACTCTGGCTCGGTCCAGAGGGGCTGTCCCTGTGCGAGACACTGCCCCAGCCATGGCTCCTGAGAGCAGAAACTTCCACAGGGCTCCTTTGTTTTCCTCTTCCAAGACATCCACAGGGACCATCAGCTGCTCTCCTGTGTCCAGAACCTGCAAGAACATCCGCTGCTTGGCCACACTCAGCCCTGAAGGAGCTTGCTCCCTATCGAGCCCTCTCTCTGCTTTCCCTCGCTGCCTCGATGTGGACAGTTCTTGGAGGGGATGATTTGATGGTTTTGTTTGTTTGAGACAGGGTTTCTCTGTGTAGCCCTGGCTGTCCTGGAACTCTCTCTATAGACCAGGCTGACACCAAACTCAGAGATCTGCTGCCTCTGTCTCCCGATTACTGGGATTAAAGGCATGCACCACCATGCCCGACTGATTTCTTTCTTTCTTAATGTTTAACTTATTTTTATTTGTGTGTGTGTTCGTGTGTGCATGCATATGAATGAAGGTACCCAAGAGGGCCAGAAAAAGACATTGGTCTCACTGGAACTGGAATTACAGACAGTTGTGGGCCACCATGTGAGTGCTGGGGCCTGAGCTCTCATTCTCTGCAAGAGTTCTTCACTGCTGCAGTCTGTCTTCCACCTTTGTGTGTGTGTGAGTGTGAGAGTGCATGCATATGTGTGTGTAAGAGAGTATGTGTGTGATGTGTGTATGAACATATGAGAGTGAAAGCATGTGAGTATGTGTGCAGTGGTGTATGTGTGAGAGTATGTGATGTGTGTATAATGTGTGTGTGATCATGAGAGTGAATGCATGTGAGTGCATGTACAATGGTTGTATGTGTGTGTGAGTGAGAATATGTATGTGAGTGTGTGTAAAGTGATATATGTGTGTGTGCAGTGATGTGTGTGAGTGTGTGCAGTGATATATGTGTGTGTGAGAGTGTGTGCAGTGATATGTGTATGTGAGTGTGTGTGCAATGATGTGTGTGCAGTGATGTGTGTGCAGTGATGTGTGTGTGAGAGTGTATGCAGTGATGTGTGTGTGTGAGAGTGTGTGCAGTGATATGTATGTGTGTGTGCAGTGATGTGTGTGCAGTGATGAGTGTGTGAATTTGTGTAGGCCAGAAGTTGACGTCCAGTGCCCTCCTCCACCACTGTCGACCTCACACGTGGAGGCGAGTCTTTCAAGCCCAGAGCTCACCAGGTCACCTGGTCTAGCCAGCGGGTGGGATCTGTCTCCACCTCTGGGCTGTTGGGGTCCCAGGTGGCTGTCAGGCCTGCCCAGCGTTTGCACAGGTTCTTACGCTTATGCAGTGGAGAAAGACACTGGACCTCAACTTCTGGCTACACACATTCACACGCACATCACTGCACACACATTCACACACACATCCCTGCACACACACTCACACGCACATCACTGCACACACACTCACACGCACATCCCTGCACACACACTCACACACACACACATCCCTGCACACACACTCACACGCACATCACTGCACACACACTCACACGCACATCCCTGCACACACACTCACACGCACATCCCTGCACACACACTCACACGCACATCCCTGCACACACACTCACACGCACATCCCTGCACACACACTCACACACACATCACTGCACACACACATCCCTGCACACACACTCACACGCACATCCCTGCACACACACTCACAAGCACATCACTGCACACACACTCACACGCACATCCCTGCACACACACTCACATGCACATCCCTGCACACACACTCACACGCACATCACTGCACAGGTTCTAGGGACCTTATACTTGCCTGAGTGCCAAGCACTTCATCCCGAGCCAGCGCCTCAGCACCCCTCCTTCCTCCCTCCCTCCCTCCCTTCCTTCCTTCCTCCCTTCCTTCCTTCCTTTATTATTTTGAGACAGGGTCTCATCTAGCCCATACTGGCCTCTAACTCTCTAGACAGCCAAGGATGACCTTGAACTTCTGATGTCCTGCCTGCAATCTCCTGAGTGCTGGGAAAACGGGTGTGCACCACCTCACGGTCTCACCCTCTCAGTGCTGGGATAACGGGTGTGCACCACCTCATGGTCTCACCCTCTCAGTGCTGGGATAACGGGTGTGCACCACCTCATGGTCTCACCCTCTCAGTGCTGGGATAACGGGTGTGCACCACCTCAAGGTCTCACCCTCTCAGTGCTGGAATAACGGGTGTGCACCACCTCACGATCTCACTCTCTCAGTGCTGGGATAACGGGTGTGCACCACCTCACGGTCTCACCCTCTGAGTGCTGGGATAACGGGTGTGCACCCCCTCATGGTCTGTCTCAATGTGGATTATTCTACTCTGCGTGGGGGAGAAGACGCTTCATACCATATGGGCAGCATAACTGTGCTTCCCTGTGGTCCAGCCTGAGGTTGTGTACCACCTAGCTCCCCAGACTTACCTGCTACAATGGAGGATGTTCAGGTTTGTTTTCACCCATGTGTCCAAACACATACTCATACACATGTGTGCATCCTGGGTTCCAGGATGCAGGTGGGGGTGGGGATGGGTTGGGGGGGGAATCAGGGTGGAGCTTTTCTAAATAAGGCCCTGACCCTCTTAAGCAAGATCTGGACCCTCAAACAAGGCTTCTGCGTTACCTCGGGATGAACTCCCATAGCTGCTGAAGGATTAGGGCCTCGGTCTCAGTGTCCCTGGGGCGGCTATCTGGCTCCCAGCTAAGAGTGGCTTGTGAATTTAGGGGCAAGAGAGGATGAGGTCACAAGAGTGCTTGTGAGCTCACGGGCATGATGGCGAGGCAGTGCGGTTGACCCTTGTCTCCCACAGCCCAGGAAGAGCTGGTGGGGTCCTCTGAATGGTGCCTAAACAATATTTATTATTCATTTGCTTTGTTTAGTTTTGTTTTGAGACAGGTCGGCATGAAGCCCAGGCTCATCTCACACTCACCAATGGATGACTTTAAATTCCTGATCCTCTTGCCTCTGCCTCCCAAGGTAGGAAGCAGAATGGATTTAGTGTTGAAGGGAGACAGAGCTTTAGTGTGAACAGATGGAGAGTTCTGGAGATGAATGGTGGGGATAGCTGTGTAGCACAGCAAACGAGCTCTGTGCTGCCACATCTGCGGATGATAAATCTTTTTTTTTTTTTTTTTTTTTTTTTTTCCCTGAGACAGCATTTCTCTGTGTAGCCCTGGCTGTTCTGGAACTTGCTTTGTAGACCAGGCTGGCCATGAACTCAGAGATCTGCCTGCCTCCACCTCCCAAATGCTGAGATTAAAGATGTGCACCACCACTGCCCAGAATATTAAAAAGTTTTTAAAATTCTTTTTTGGGGAGTGGGGTGGGGATCAGTGAGACAGGATCTCATGTAGCCCAGGCTAGCTCCAAATTTGCTTGCAATGACTCTGAACTCCTGATCTTCTTGTCTTCACCAGTCCAAGTGCTGAGATGACAAGTTTGTGCCACCTCACCCAGACTTAAAGCCCCTTTCCTCTGTGTGTGTGTGTGTGTGTGTGTGTGTGTGTGTGTGTGTGTGTGTGTGTGTTCTAATTGGAGCTGAGAGATGGTTCAGTGGTTAAGAATGCATACTGCTCTTGAAGAGGATCTGGGTTCAGTTCCCAGCACCACTGTAACTCCAGATCCAGATCAGAGGACCCTGACTGTCTCTCTCTCTCTCACACACACCAGATACACACGACACAAATCAAATCTTTAAAATGTATTATTTTGGTGTGTGTGTGTGTGTGTGTGTGTGTAGTCTGGTGCGTGTGCGGAGGTCAGATGACAGCTCTGTGGACTCCACTTCCTCCTTCCACTTGCACGGGAGTCCCGGGGATTGCATTCAGGTGGAAAGGCTTGCGTGGCAAGGGTCCCACTCAGTGTGTGCGCATGTGAGTGCAGTGTCCTCAGAGGTCAGAAGGGGGCTTCAGATCCTGGAGCTGGAATGACAGGCGACTGTGAGTCACCATGTGGGTTTTGAGACTGCAACTCAGGTCCTCTGCTGGAGCAGTGTGGGCTCTTAACAGTGAATGGACCACCTCTCCAGCCCTCTTGCTGTTTATAAATGGAGTGGAAACTGAGGTTCCAATCTCTTGGAGAAGAGGAAAGAGGAGGAGAGGGGGCAGAGGGGGTGATGGAGGGTCAGAGGAAGCGGGGAAGTGTTGTAGGACATTATTTTAAGGTGTGTTACTTTTGTTTATGCTCTGGAACATTTGTTTAGTGATGCAAAGATGTGTTTGATTAAATAAAATTCACCGCGGTCAGGAGGCTGCGTCAGCAACTAGCCGACAGGAAGTGGTAGGAGGAGCCAGGTGAAAGGGGGTTTATAAGGAGGGGCGAGAAGCATGAGGGCTTTTGGGGGGATTCGAGCAAGGAGAGGGGGTGAGCTACTTGCTATTCAGCCTCTCCGAGGAGCAGAATTCCACCCGAACCTTTCAATCTTGAGTTCTTTAGAGGGACAGCGATTTAGTTAAATTCCCTTCATAGCTTTGAAAGCATTGGTGCCTGAGGGAACAGAATTCCCTCAGGCTGAGGCTGGTAGCGATGGAACTGTAGTTGCTGATTCGGACAACCATGGCTTAAAAGGCAGCAACAATTATAAAAAAAAAGAGCCAGGTAGTGGTGGCGCACGCCTTAATCTCAGCACTCAGGAGACAGAGACAGGCAGATCTCAGTGAGTTCGAGGCCGACCTGGTCTACAGAGTGAGTTCCAGGACAGGCTCCAAAACTACAGAGAAACCCTGTCTCGAAAAACAAACAAACAAAAAATAAATAAATATAAATAAATAAATAAATAAATAAATAGATAGATAACATCAGGGAAGGAAGGAAAGGAGGGGGAGGGGATAGAGGGGAAGCTAGGAAGTAGGGGAGAGAGGAGGTGGGAGGAGAGAGGGAGGAAGGGGGTAAGGTAAGAGGGAAGAAAGGAAGAAAGGAAGAAAAGTAGGGATGGAGTTCCTTGTGAGTTTCTCAACGTCGTCCACACACCCATTTCCATAGTTTTTTAAAAGTCACAAATCTACAATGGAGTCATCAAAGGTGCTTTCTACCGAACCTGATCCCCAGGCCCCACACGGTGGAAGGAGAGGGTAGACTCCCACCAGTCTCCTCTGACTTCCATATGCCCCTCCCTCAAACAAATTTAATTTAAAAAATTAAACAGCAACAATGAAAGTGCTTAGAAAATTTATTGTTTTCCCCTTGAAATGACAGGCACGGGCAGGAAGGTGGGGCTTGGTGTAGGAGGGAGGGAGACGTGGAAGCCATGGTGGGGTCCTCCTGCCACCCAACACCCCAGGCCCCCTTTCACAGTCCTTTGATGGGGTCCCCAAAGACTAGGGAGTTGATCAAGGTATCCCCAGTTACCCTAAGCTCAGAACCCAATGTTTAAGTGCGGAGGGTATGGGAATGTAGTGGGGAGCCAGGGGACTTTGTAGAAAAATAGACCCCCGAGTCAGTCTGGGGATGCTTAATTTTGCATACTGATTGCTGGGTTTCAGGAAGGATGCTGTATATTGGTCCTTAATTGTGACTTTCTGAGGCCCGAGCTGGGCTGGCAGTGCTGGGATGCAGAAGGTCCCCTTGGCTGTGTCCCCCGACTTCACCTGGCAGCTCCCCGTCCATGAACAAGCAGACCAGACCCTCCCAGAGGGACCTGGGCTCTGGGAGTTACTAGCCTGGAAGGTGGGCAGGGGTGTGGAAGACATTTTAGAGTGGGAAGACGGGAAGGGAGGTGATTTGGGAGGGGAGTAGTTCCTTCTGGGTGGGGGAGGGGAGGTGTGTCCTAGCTGAGGGGAGATGCAGCATTCCTATGGGGTGTGGTGTGGGACATACATCTGATCCCTTACTGCTTGGTGGGGAGCCACTGGTCTGGGATTTGGGCTTCCAGAAGGATGCCTGGATGGTGTGGTTCCATGCAGTGGCAATCAGCTCCAGGGTGTATCTTGGATATTGGGGTGCCTGTGGGATCTGAGATGCTGCCACTGGGCGGTTGGGATCTAGGCTTGGGGAGTGGTCTGAGCACTGGGGGTGCAGGAGCACAGGGCTTGGGACCTAGCAGTGTCTGGGAGAGCTCCGCCTTCTATGGATTGTGCCCAGAGAAGGGGTGTAAGGAATCTGGGGTCTGGCATTTAACAGCTGTGGCATCTGGGATCCACCCTGGAGCTCACACCTGTGGTTCCAGGAACCAGAATCTAGTGGGTTGGGACTTGGGACTCTGGGATCCAGTGATGAGAAATTGAAGGTGGTGCTTGAAATGTAGACCCCGCAGTCAAAGTGGAAGAGTGTGGAACCCCAAGTCGAGGTACATGAATTGTTTGCAGTGAGGGATCTGGGATCCAGTGACCCAGGGGCAGAGCCCCAGGATCTTCGCATTGCTCTGTCAGGACCCTGTGCCTGGGAGTTCTTGGCTTCTAGAATCCAGTGGCCGGACTATGAGGCAGGTGACAGGGTATTCATCAGCAGGTTTGGGGATCTCAGTCCTGTGCGGCATGAGCGTCTGGTGCTGGAAGGATCTGGGGTCTGGCTATGGGGTACAAGGATGTGTGCCCCCATGCTTGGGGCATTGGGCCATCTGCTGCTGCATAGGGAGGCCCAGTGCCCAGTGGGTGGTGCAGGGAAAAGCAGGATGTGGCTCTGGGGCTCCGGGATAAGGGTTCAGAGCCAGGGTGTGGATGGTTCTGCATTTCAAGTGTCAGACTGCTGATGTGTGAGTCACAGCAGTTGGGGTCTGATTGTGAAGTTGAGGATCCAGCACTGGGATCCAGTGGCCAAAGAGTGGGGTCCAGTGGTGTAATGGTCAGGACACAGGGCCAAGGATCTGGGATTTGG